CTTTTTAAAACGAACAGCTTCATATCTGGGACTTGAGATGCTGTGGCCTTGAGAAACTCTTTAAGTGAGGGACAGTTAGGTGGCAAAGTGGATAGAGCAGTGGCCCTGGAGTCAAGAGGACCCGAGTTCAAATCCAGCCTCAGACACTTGACACTTACTAGCTGTGCGACCCTGGGCGAGTCACTTAACCCCAATTGCCTTACCAAAAAAAACCCAAACGAACAGATCAGTCTTCAGTTCCTGAGCATATAGATTTGTGGAGCTCAATGTAAGAGATGACCATGGTTTTTGACTAAAGGCTTTCCCTCTTAAGACCCCCTATCAGGGAGCCAACCCACAGAAGAAAATACAGATGACTTTCAATTCAATATGACAGGTCTTGATATTAACCAAGTTTTGCCAAGCAAAGTATTGTGGATTTTTAACTCTGGCTATTTTCATAGCACTTAAGGCAGATCTCCACTGAAAGCAACTGGAAAGCTTCAGCTTTTCCCACCAGTGGGCCAGCAACGCTTTGGGAGGAAAAAACCTGCCAACAGATTTGATAGTGCTATGAACAGAGGGTTAAATTTTTAGTTTTATTTTCTTCATTGATAGCAGGCTTGGTACCTGTACACACACACACACACACACACACACACACACACACACACACACGCACACAAGTATGTATGTACATAGATACATGCACATGTGTTATTTGTTATGCATGTGTATTCATACATGTATACTGCCCAGCCTTAATTTTATTGCTTTCAGAGTACTTAAGATTAGAGAAGCATTTGGAATACACTGAAGTCAAGGAGTTAACTTTTAAATAGATTTGTATTTCATTTCACATATGCCTCAGCTTTAAGAACCCTCATTTTCATTCTGAATAGCCACCATGCTGTCTCTCCTACTCGGTGTTAGAAATAGTAATGTATTTATTCCAGCTAACCAAGTTACTGTTAACTAGGCCACTGGTTTAGAGCTTAGAGAAAATTTTCAACTTTAAAGCCTGGCTATGGGCAAGAGTTTTAATTTTTGATCTTTAGTAAAAAAAAATTTTTTTTAATTGGCTCATTATACTGGTGCTACACTGCCTTGGGCAGCTAATGCTCACAAGCTACCATCACTGGAATCATACATTTATACCTGGTAAGTGTGCTAGGATCTAGTAAAGCCTGAGAACTGTCGTTGGGTTTGTTTTTGTTTTTTTAAACCGGTGTGCAATCTTGATTTAAACTGTCACTAAGATAAAATTGTCCTGTGTGGTGTTAGCTGGTCCAGATCATGTTTATCTGTCTTGGGTTGGCAAAGGAGACTGGAGGGGGTTCCTTTTTTTTAAATAATTTCTTGAAATACTTTACTGAAACCTTGTTTCCCAATTCCAGCGTGATCTTTACAGAATCGGATCATTTTCTGCTGATTTGGGGATTGTGGGGCCCACCTGGAGTCCCTGCTGCTGGGGAGGTTAATACTTATGGATCTCTGCAGCTGGGGGGTTCTGAGCCACAATAGGGCAAAAGCCAATATGGTGTCAGCACTAAGCCTGGCACCAATATGGTGAGCCACCAGGCTGCCTGAGGAAGGGCACGCTGCCGGGGACCAAGACCAGAACCAAGGCGTTGCAGCTCCCAGTTCAATGTTCTTCCTAATGCACCATAGGACCCAAAATGATATCTTCTTATTTCAAAATGTCAGCAAACCTCATTAATAGCCAGGAAAATCATACCAGGAACAGAATAGTTGTGACCTGACTTACCTTGGAACCTTTGGGAAGGAGATATGATGCCCATTTCAGACTCATCTGCTACCATAAATGTATTACTCTATAGTTGTTTTGTCATTCTCTAGATTGAAATCTTGTGGTATAATGCATTATACCTATTTTTTAAGAGGTTTTTAAATTTTATTTTTGATTATAGGCCAAAAATTATTTAAGACACAGAAAGATGCATGTGTTTGTTGTGTTGAAAATGTACAGCATTACAGTATTAATTCGATTTAAGATGACATCTTTCTCAGCCTTGTTAGTCCTGGCAAGAAGACTCTGGCCTATGACTGCACTTAGTGTAATTGTGTTTAGCAGAAACTGGTTCTGCTTCTTCTTTTAACTTTGCAGTCTGTAACATCATGCTATTTATTAAAAAAAAAAAAGACAAAGCAAAAAATAATTATTTGTACTTATGTGTTCCAATATTCCTTAGTGTCCTTTGTACTTAAAAGAAAAACACAGTAAAGTATGGATGTCTCATTTCCTCCTGTGTATTTACAAACAAAATTGTGGTAGTCTTAAGAATTAATTGTTTCTGGTTGACAGTTTAATCCTCCTAGGCAGCAAAAGTCAAACAAGGAATTTGGGCCCATCACACAATGGGTTTAGTTGCAGAGTTTAGAAATTAGCCATGTGTAGTGGCAGGCTGGACTTTATTCAGTAAAGCCTAGAAGAGGAAACACAATGTAGGACTTTGGTAAGTTCAGTGTTTAGTGGAGGTCAAGAAACAGACTTTTGCAGACCTGTGCCACTAAGTTCAATGCTTCAGATTAGAAAATGTCATATTTTCTTACTTCTCTAGCAGATAGTCATTGAAATCTCATTTACTTATTCCACAATTTCCCCATGTGATTGAAGGATCAAGTCTTTTCCTGAATTAACTTTGTTCTTCTTGTCTAGTTGTTTCGCTGCCTTGAAATAGCCCAGTTGGTACTGTAGATCATTTTGAACATTCTACATAATCAATCCATTATAAAATACTAGGATTGTCTATATTGTAGATTGGAACAATTTTCCTTGAAAAATAAGTCTTATGTTAAGTGCTCTCCTAACTAGGAAAAGTGGTTTTATCTCAATGGATGAAACCAGCTATATTGACTGCGTTACATTTCAAAGGGCTAAGAATTTGCCAGAAGGTTCCCAGAACCACCAAAGTGGAGAGTTGGATGAGAACTCATTGGCCATCCATCCCAACCCATGCACAAAAAGAATCCCTACTGTAATACCCAACAAGTGGCCATCTGGTGGAACTGAAGACCTCCAAGAAGGTACCACCATCTCCAAGGCAGCCCATCCCATTCTTGGACAGTGCTTGCTGATAGGAAGTTTTTCCTGACATTGAGCCTAAATTTGCTTCTTTGCAACTGCTACCTATTGCTCCTGGTTTGGTGCTTCAGGGCCAACAAAACAAATCCCTCTTCCACTTGATATCCCTTCAGATACTTGACGACAGCTATGGTGTCCCTTTTAAGTCTTTTTTTTCCAGGTTAAACATACTCAGTTTCTTCAACTGATCCTTTAAAATGGTGAGACCCAGTGCTCCTAGTATCCAGAGCTCTGAGATTAGACATGAGTATAGTAGAGCAGATCCTTTTTCCCTCTCTCCAGAGATCTCAACCCTTCTTTCCCAGTCTTACTTATAACTTTGGGAAGGCCAGGGCAGAGATAAGACTACCTTTAGGGCAAAATTTTCAAGTCCTAAAAAACTTTGTGGAAGAAGGAAGTGTCCTAACCCGAGCACCATTATTGTTGTCTTCTACTTAGTTACTGTGATCCTATAATCTTGAAATTAATTTCTATAACTGTGCTGGATTAGAATCTTCAGATCTACTTTTGGGTCTAGAAAGTGTTTCCTACATTAACATTCAAATTCTGCAAGCTTTGGTTTTACAGGAAAGCTTTTGACTGGTATAGTCACAAGAAACTGACTTGGTGACATCCGGAAGTTATTTCTGAAGTTCCCCATTTTCTGTTTTAGGGAGCAGTGTGGTAGAGTATAGAGGGCACTAGATTTGGAGTGGGGAAGATCTGGCTTCCAGTCCCCCCTCAGACCTTTACTAGCTGTGTGACCCTGAACAAGTCATTTACCCTCTTTGGGCCCAGGTTTCCTTATTGGCAGAATGAGGGGATTCACCTTGAAAGCTTCTGATGTTCCTTCCAGTGCTAGATTCATGAGCCTATGATGATGGTAAGTTCATAGGTTGTAGATTTAGTCCTAGAATGGACCCCAGTGACCATGTGATCACACATTTAGAGCTGAAAAGGACCTTCTAGACCATCCAACCCAACACTCTCATTTTACAGATGAGTAAACTGAGGCCTGAAGAAGACAACCTGCTTAAAGTCACTCAGGCAGCAAGTTCTCTAGGTTCTGTGAAGACTTTAAAAAAAAAAATCATTATGCGGCCTCAGACACATAACACTTACTAGCTGTGTGACCCTGGGCAAGTCACTTAACCCCATTGCCTAGCCAAAAAAACCCCAAAAACATTATGGAGGCACTCTAGTAGCCAAAAACAGGCTCCAGGTTATTCAGAATTAATCTGAAAAACATTATTAAAGTCTTAGAACTTTCATGATTCACTTTCCAAGGCAGGATCTTTAAAAAGATGATCAGCTATTGCTTATTTTGTGGGAATTAGCTACATTATGGATTGCCCCAGTGAAGGTTAAACTCTTGGCCATTTTCTTCCCACTCCAGGGCCTGCCCTCAACAACTACCCAGCCAATATGTGTTTGTGTGAATGCATATTTGTGGGGACCATTAACTTGTTAAACATAAGTTTATGAAACACATAATGAGAAAGAGAAACTTGCATAGAAGAAGACATGCCTATTAAATAATAAACATAAATGGCTTTCAGATTAGCCACCGAATTTTCCAGGTTCCCCAGCCTTAGCATATCATCAAGGGCCAACTCTAATCAAAATGACATACATTTGAGTAGAGATTATATATTTTCCTCTCTTGGTAGTAGGATTTGGAAAACTTTTTTTTCAGCTTTCTATAATGAATGAGTTGAGATTCGGACTACTGCCTGAGCCAGTTTAGAGGGGGGACCCTAGTGTGTCTACATCTCAGCTGATGGTACCATTCTGGGAGAGCAGGTGATGCAGCTCTCTCCCATGTCTTTGAGAGATTCAAACTAGAGCTTAAATCTGAATCCAAAAACATCTAGATCTTGTGTTTTTTTGTTTATATATCAAAGACTAAGTTTTTAGATAGGATGGAAAGGGGTCATGGGGAAAAAGAACTGGTGCATTTTTAATTGCTAAAAGAATTTTTTTTTCACATGAAAAATACCATGTAACAATTTCAGAGTTGTCTTCTACAGAGTTAATTTGCAAGCAGACTTAAGCAGTGACTACATCATGTAAAGGGAATAGTTTGTTGTTTTTTTTGACTGGGCCACCATCTTAAAAACCCTTGATTTCTTTCTTTCTCCCCTTTCTCCCCAGTCTGTAGTGTTGCAGTTCTTTCTGTGTTGTATTGTTGCCAGCTTCTTCTCTCATCATATTGGTGTACTCCTCACACAGCACTGACAAGTGTTGGGTTAATTTCACCATGCCCACAATCAATGCACCACCCAACAGAGTCAACGACGGCCAGAACAAGCAGTGGAAGATAACCATTTGGTCGTACTTTTTAATCAGGACAACATCCTCCGGTTTGCTGTCTGGGCTGTAGAAGCAAGAGAAAGGAGTTCCATTTTTGTGGTCAAAGAATTCCTTAATGTCCAGAGCTCTGTTGAGTAGATCATTCTTATCTCGATGGCATTTTGGTGTGTAAAAGCACTAGGAAGGGAAAGAAGGAAGAAAGGAAGACGTGGTCATGAGGAATGCTGTGGCGTGGGACAACATTTCCCAAATGCTGAAATACCTTTAACCTAGATGTGGCCTTAGTCTCATGACCATGGTGTGGTGGTGTCGGCTGCAGGGTATGGAGACCAGGGTCCTGAGAATGAAGTGGTGGTTTGGCCCTCTCAAGTCAGGAATCAAAAGAAAATTCACAGTAAGAAGCTTTGGAAGATGGAGATCACCTAGTATCTTGAGTTGTTTCTTCTCTCTACCTTCCTTTCACAACAGCACTCCCACTGGGACTTTGTAAACCTATCTCTCCTTTCTGTCGCCTCACTTTTCTGTTTGAAATTGTCTACTTCTCAAGTTGTCTGTCTTGTGTCCTTGTGTTCAGCAGCTAAAATACTGGTCAGAAGTATCTCCAAAGGGGCAGTTAGGTGGCGCAGTGGATAGAGCACCAGCCCTGGAGTCAGGAGGACCTGAGTTCAAATGTGACCTCAGACACATAACACTTACTAGCTGTGTGACTGTGGGCAAGTCACTTAACCCCAATTGTGAAAGAAAGGAAGAAAGAAAGGAAGAAAGGAAGAAAGGAAGAAAGAAAGAAAGAAAGAAAGAAAGAAAGAAAGAAAGAAAGAAAGAAAGAAAGAAAGAAAGAAAGAAAGAAAGAAAGAAAGAAAGAAAAGAAAGAAAGAAAGAAAGAAAGAAAGAGAAAAGAAAGAAAGAAAGAAAGAAAGAAAGAAAGAAAGAAAGAAAGAAAGAAAGAAAGAAAGAAAGAAAGAAAGAAAGAAAGAAAGAAAGAAAGATCTCCCAAGCACACCATATTGTGTTATTGGCCTGAATCCTTGGATGAGGAGAAGGCTGGGGTGGGGGTGGGGGGAGGGGAGGGGAGGAGGGAGAGACAGTGTCACGGTTCTGGTACTGAGCATCAGCTCAGGAAGTCATCTTAGGAGGGGTGTGGCTCTGTCAGCTGATGGTTGGGTGCTGTTTTTTTTTTAAAGCATCTGAAGTTTAAGTAGATAACTTGGACGAACAACACTGGAATCTGAGGACCAGGGTTCCAGTCCTGACTCTCATCTTGTACGGTCCTGCGAAAATCACTTAACAGTTTCCTCATTTGTGAAACTAAAGGGTCAGACTGGATCAGAGGTTTTCTTACCCTGGAGTTTACGAACTTTTTAAAAAATCTATTTTGATAATTATATTTTAGAATAATTTGTTTTCTTTGTAATCCTATACATATTCTGTACACTTAAAAATTATTTTGAGATGATGTCCACAGGCTTGACCAGATTGCCAAATGGGCCCACAACACCAGAAATGGTTAAGAGCTCCTAGACTGCATCATTTGAGATCCTTTCTAGCTACAAATCTATGGTTCTATAATTCTATGCATCCTCACTTTCAGATTTTGCCCTTTTTTCCTCCTAAGGCTCTTTGATCATTTTAACCTGCTTTCATCTTTATTCACTGGGGAAGGACAGTGTTCTTTCCCAAAGCCCTCCTAAGAGTAAGCTCCAGACCCTGGACCCTGCAGAGAAGGCTCTGCTCCTGATCTGCAAAAGACTTCTGGCAACTTTGGCCCTTTAAATATATCATCAGTACATACATTACCTCTGGGTTTATCTGAACAGCTTCTTCATTATAGTGCAGGAAAGCTTTCAGGCCAGAATGGGAGAGGTTTACAGACACCTGAAGGCAAGGGTACTTCCCCTGGCCCCAGCAGTCGACCCCGCAGGTGAATGAACAATCCAGCCAGTCATCCTTCACATGCGTGTCCATAATGGTACAGTTTGCTTCTTCTCGCTGTGTGCTTGAATTCAAAAATATTCATGATTTACCTGTCCTCTAAAGCAAAGTTCTGGCAGATCAGCATTTGACATACAATCAGATAAAGTGTGGCAGGCTGCCTTTCCTTTCATCAACATTCTTGGCAAATGGTTAAGTTGCCAAAGCAGGGCTCAGGTCCTGTGGACTCTGATTTCTGTCTTTCCCCCTAAGACTTGACTACCCTGGGCAAATAAGTGAGAGATTTATTTTCCAAAGAGCCTGAGAAGTCATGGGCCAGTTTGATTCAACAAGAATTTATTAAGCACTTACTATGTGCAAGGTATTGTACTGAGTGCTTGGAATGGGTCCGGAGCTATGGTTTCCTATTTGTAGGTAGCTCCCTGTTCAGAAACACCCTCTATTGGTGCAAGTCAGCAACTGTTCTGTAGCTTTCAGTCCTAGTTGCCTGGAACACTAGGAAGTTAAGTGACTTGGCCAGGCTGACACAGTCAGTATGTGTCAGGAATACATACTACATCTTCCTGACTCCAGGGCCCATATCCATGAAACCACACCACTGTCTGGAATTTGGGAATATAAAAACAAAACAGCCCTGCCCTCAAGGAGCTTCTTTTCTACTGACCAACCCAGGTGATGGACTCTATAACTTGGGCTTCGCAATGGAGAGGCAAAAGATTGCTCCCTCACCTAATACATAATCTTAATTTACCAAGCCATGCTACATGTTGGGTGTCAACAAACAGGCAAGGAGTGAGCCAAGTCTTCAACAAATAACCATACAAGGTTAAGGCTGGAAGGGACTTTTGAGATCCAATAATATTAGTAGCTTACGTTTCTGTAGTGTTTTGAGGTTAGTGAAGCATTTTATAGACAATCTCATTTGACCTTTATGGCTTGAAAACTGACTGATATCTTAGGTTTTGGAGTCCAGAGAGACAAGCATTCTCTCTCAGACCTGATCTCTGAACTGGAAGACAGACTTAAGTGATGTGCAGTCGTTTGTAGAGAGACACACACCGAATTCAAGAGGCAGACCAAGAGGCAGGATTGGGACAGAGAACTGGAGACGCAAGCAGTAGCCTCAACGTGGACACAGAACCCCCAGGCTCAGCTAGTTCACTAGCAGAAAGAATTATGAGGGCAGAGACAACAACTAAAAGGAGAAATGAGAAACTGAGGTGAGGGCTGAGATACTGCAGAGAAGGGAGAAATACCGGACCCTGAAATCATCTTGAAACAAATGATTCAGACCAAAGCTATCACTTGTCATCACCTCCTCAAGAAATGAGGGAATTTCCTACCCCCCCAAAAAAAAGTCTGCTCTTTCTATGCCTATCCAGTAGCAAATGCTATGATATACTCTGCTCACTTCTTTTACCTAAACATTTCCTGTATTCTGATTTTGCCTCAAATATTAAGAGGGCATGAGTTAGCTAGAAATATAGCTGGGTCCTGATTAGTGTGAATCCTCTGGAGCAGTTGTACGTATTTGAATTTGCACTATTTGAAGTTATAATTATATGTATGATCATAGGTTCCAACCTAATGGAAATATGCAGTACAAATCTGAAACAAGTGGCCAGTTTGAGGGATTCATTATTCGCTCTAATAAAGACTTAACTGTATGTAAAACTTTAAATTAGGACAGAAAGCCAGACTTCTGTTTGAATGTTAGCAATTTTCCTAATTAGGGGCTCCCAGCTATTGTTATTATATTAATAATTTCTCATCTCGTATAAATTCCACAAAATAGCAGAGACATATAGAAGTACGGGTCATTATGTTGTCCCTAAGGCTACAAGTAAACTTAGCTCATGTAACAAGTTAAGGTTAATTAAATTCCCCCCAAAAAAGCAAAAGGTAGAAATAGGTAAAGCCAACTGTACCTTCCACTGACTACCCTCAATGTTAATCCAAGTATTATGCCTGTTTTACAGATGAGGAAACTGAGGCTTAGGTCTAGTGACTTGCCCATGGTCAATGTCATAAATTATATTTGAACAGCATTTAGCTGTCAAGTACATAGGGAATATAGATTAAAAGTCATTAGAAAAAAGGTGCCTTTTCTGCACAATGCCATGAAGTAGGCAAAATAGCTATGCCCAATTTAAAGGCAGAAAAACCAGTGGAAAGAGTTTCAATTAACTTAACCATGGTCATTTGGCTAGTAAATTTCAGAGTACCTATTTGATCTCAACTCTAGAACTTTTTCCAGGATATTACCTGGCAAATATCATTGGCCCACCTCTTCTCATAACTTACTTTAGGTCATCTCTGGTCATTTCCTTTATTCTCTCAGTCTCTGGGTGTTAGGAAATATGATACTGACATTCTTGACAAGCTTCCTGGCCACCAATTTTTTAAACTCAACTGAGTTCCATTCATATTCTAGTGCTGGCACAGAATTCTCTGATCATTGCAACAAAAGTTTGAACCAGAACCAGAAATGCACAAGCTCCCTCTCAGAATGGCTCTAACATGTTCAAGAGGGATTTCCCTTGGAAGGGGTCCTACAGGATTCATCTGAATTCTTCACTAAGCATTGGTATCACCTTCTTCAGTTAGATAGGGGCTTTGGTGGAATTGTGGTTAGCAGCATGGGCTGTTATACTACTTTATAGCATTTTAACATTAAAATCAATTCTGAGGGGCAGCGAGGTGGCACAGTAAATAGAGCACCAGCCCTGGAGTCAGGAAGACCTGAGTTCAATCTGGCCTCAGACACTTGACATTTACTAGCTGTATGACCCTAGGCAAGCCATTTAACCCCATTGCCTAGGCACCCCCCCCGCCAAAAAAAAAAACCCTTCAATTCTGAGCCACCACGCAGCAGAATCTTAGACTCTGCCATGGGCACACCCTAACAGCAGGGCAATTGGTCTCACATGATAGTACTGGAGTGGCAACAACAGCTTATGCCTGGCATCATCCTCATCTATTGAGGTTTGAGTGCCTGAATCCCTGTCATTCTTGCCAGTGCAGGCACAGACAAACACAATTTGACATTGTGTCAAGTGGTGGGGATGTATATAAAACAAACTTCTTTAGGCACCTTCTCCAAATAAGTGTCAAATCAGGGCAAGATATGAACTTGCAAGGAAAGGCTCCTGAGAATCACAGACTACCACAGTCACAATGAGACCTTTCCCTGACTAGCCCCACATCCATCACTATGTACTCACATAATTCTGGGGCTAATAACACAGCAGCACAATTACTCTTCCTGGAGTAGTGGCTATATGAGTAACTTCCACAATCAACTTCAAGTCAAACAGGCATTTACCAAGCATCTCCTACATGAAAGGTCCACTGTGAGGCACTGGGGGAGGTATAAAGTTCTACTGAGCCACAATCCCTGTCCTCATGAAGTTTACCTTCTAGGAGGGGCATCAGACCTAAGCATATAACATACAATATTAGAGCATCTAAGAGGAGCAAAAAAATGCACTGTACACTCTAAGAATGAAGGTTGTTACCAAAAGCAGGAATCAGTGAAGGAAAGCTTCGTGGTGGATGTGATATTTGGCATTGAGCTTTTTAATGAATGGGTAAGAATCCAACAGACAAAAAAGAACAAAGGAGTACATTCCAATCCCAGGAAACAACACGAGGAAGGCACATAGAGAGGAAAATATGCTCAAGTGACAGAAAATAGTCTAGTTTGGTTGAGGTGTTGAGTATTTGGAGATGAGTAATAACAGGTAAGGTAGGGCAGCTCAGTGGCACAGTGGATAGAGTTCCAGGCCTGGAATCAGAAAGACTCATCTTCCTGAGTTCAAATCTGGCCTTAGACACTTATTAGTGTGTGCCCCAGGACAGGTCTCAGTTTGCCTTAGTTCCTCATCTGTAAAGTGAGCTGGAGAAGGAAATGGCAAACCATTCCAACTTGTTCACCAAGAAAACCCCAGATGAAATTAGGCTGAACATGACTAAACAAGGACAACAATATGAGATGAGTAGAAAGGTAGGATGGCATCAGAGAGGCATCCCCTTTGGAAGGCCTTGAATGCCAAACAAAGGAGTTTGGATTTGACCTTGCAGACAATAGGGAAGCCTTAATTTTTTTTTTTTTTTTGCAGAAAAGCATAGTAGAGAGGCAGTATTACATAGTGGATAGATCACTGGACCTGACGTTAGGGAGACCAGAGTTCAAACCTGCCTCCGATACTTACTAGCTGTGTGATCCTGGGCAAGTCAGACCACCTCTCTGTGCCTCAGTTTCCTCATCTATGAAATGAGAGAATTGGACCAGATGGCTTCTGAGGCTATGATCTTATTATCCTCTGGGTGCCATGACCAGATCTACATAAAAGGAAGATTGGCCCAGCTGGTGAGGACGTCCATACAGGTGGAGAAGGATAGAGGGAGAAACATTCATTATGAAGTTATCGTAACAGACCAGACAAGTGGCAATGAAACTTTCTTCTAAGGTGACAGCAGCAGGATTGGAGAGAGGAACACAGATGTGACATATGTTGTAAAAGTATAATCAGTGTAATTTGATAACTGGTTTGAATACAAAAGATGAGGAAGGCAGATGTGGAAGTTTAACACCAAGATTTCAGATATAGCAGATTGCATAGAAGTGCCCTTGACAGAAATTACTACTTCGGAAGGAGAAGATTTAGAGAAAATAACTGAGCCTGGGACACATTCAGTTTGAGGTGATGGTGAAACATTCAGTTAAATAGTCAATGAGCATTTATTAAAGCACCTACTATGTGCTAAGAATTATAGTAAGGACTGGGGAAAAGCAAAGCAAAAAAAAAAAAAAAAGGCACTGCTCCCAAAGGAGCTCATGGTCTTTTGGAGGAGGCAACATGCAAACAACTATATACACTCAAGGAATGAAATTGCCTTATAAGCAGTTGAAGACTTGAGCTGGCACTGCCAAGGTACTTCAGAACTGGAGTTATAGATTTAGGAGCCATCTGCATAATAGGATTAGTTGCCAAAGATCAGAGTTAGAGGACCAAGAAGAGGACCTTGAAGAACACCTTAAGGGGCCAGAAGAAGGGTAAGGAGACAGAAAAGTAGTTTGAATGAAAGAAAGAAAAGGCCTTTATTAAGCATTTGCTATGTGCCAGGCACCCTGCCAAGTGTTAGGAATACAAATACCAAAAAAAAAAAAAAAACCAAGATACTCCCTGCCTTCAAGGAGTTCACATTCCACCTGTGGGAGGAAGGGATAGAGGAGTGGGGGAGGGGCACGCCTTGGTTTCAGAAATCACAAGGTTGGTGAATGGATTGACGCACCTGCCAAGAATAGAAGAGTTCACTTGATTGCTTTTTCCAGAGCAAAAAGTGAAAAGCAAGCATAATGAAGCATCTGCGTGCCAGGTGCCAGAGGCTGTCTTTATCAGCTGCGTAGTCATAGAATAATTTGCATCGTTTGTGGCAGCATGGCATGAAAATGACCAAAGATCAGCCTGCTAGGGTTTGGGTCAGGTTAGATATAGAGCCCAGGGTCCTAGGGCAAGGACAAGGTGAAAAAGTCCGTCCGGATCAATAAGGATAAAGATGATGGGGCAGTACAATGGATAGAGCAGGAGGACCTGAGTTCAAATCCAGACTGAGACCAAACACTAGACACTTATTAGCTATGTGACCCAGGCAAGTCACTTAACCCCAATTGCCTAAAAAGAAAAAAAACTAAGGATAAAGATGGCAACAGTGTCAGAGCAAAACAAGAGGAATGCGGTGACCCTTTCCTGATCAACAAAATTCAGTACCTCCCTGTTTCCTCTGGACAAAATACAAACTTCTATGCTAGGCATCTAAAAGCTCCTTACCATCTGGCTTCAGCCTACATTTCCTGACCTTTCACATGCTCTACTCCAGCTGAAATGGCCTCACTTGCTCTTCCCAACCTTAGCATTCCATCTTCTACCTCCATATATTTGCACAGGAAGTCCTCCATATCTCGAATCCACTCTCTTCTTTCCTTAGAGACTCTCACTACCTTCAATGCTCAGCTTATATGCTAATTTCAAAGGCAAGATCTCTCCTCAAATTAGCATACACACACTGTTTCTATATTGTATCCTCCAGTAGAATGGAAACTCCTGGAGGGCAGGGAGTATTTTTCACTTTGTCTCTGAATCCCTAATGCATAGTAGTTGTTGAGACCAGACTCTTTTGGGCTGAAGAAAAAGGAGGAAGCCATGAAGAAAGAGAGTAAAGATGCAAAAGAAAGAGGATGATTGAGGGAGAAGGGCTCTAGATGGGGCAGCCATCTTCCAGAGAGCAACCCCTATGGAGACTGTTCCTCCCATCCTCACCAGCATTAACCATTGACCAATTGTCAGCAACAGCAGGCAAGCCAGTCTAACTGAAGTAGCAATATGCTCTGAGAGGAAGTTAGAAGGCAATATGTGCCAGGAAAACTAAACCATATTAACTCTCGACTACCACCTCCCCTCAAGCCCTGGTGGAGGCAACCCAGAGCCCTATGCCTAAGAGCAATAAAAATAAGAAGTGTCCCCCCCTCAAACCACCAGCCCTGCTTCCAGTCCGCACTCTACAACCCTTGTAGCGAGCCAAGGAATTTTCATCACTAAAAACCTTGGGATTGTCAAATGGTTCAAAGTCAGAAATGGATATTTTTTTAATCAATGGATATGACACTAAATAAGATTACTGACCATCCACCTTGCTGTCACACCCTAAGGAACACAGCACCTTTCCATCTGTCCTGTAGTTGAACCCTCTTCTATGTATTATCTCCCCCCATTAGAATAGAAGTGCCTTAAGAGCAGGGACTATACTCTAGTGATTGTCCAGCCTTGACAGGAACTAAGAGTTGACATTTGTTTAGTGTTTTATGATAACAAGAAAGCCTGATGCACATTTTTTCCTTTTATTCCTCAGAATAACTGTATGAGGTAGCCAGAAAGCATTACTATCTCCATCTTACAGATGAGCAAATTAGAGTACAGAGAGGTTCAGAAGATCTGGGTTCACATATAGCTTTAACGCTTACTAGCTATGTGTTATTGAGCTGGGATATGGGCCCAAACATTCCAATTCGAGTCTAATGCTCCTTACATCATGCCATGTCACTTCTCCCCCCCTTTGCACCCCAAAATGTCTTATGTTGGCTATCAGCACCAGGAGAAAGATGAGTCAGTCCTTTATTGCTACAGAATTATTTTGTCCTAAACAATGAGAATCGTTGAAATGTGCAACTACAGAAATATAAAAGAAACAATACAATAAAAAAAACCTCTTCATGGTACAGTGGAAAAAATATTGGTCTTGGGGTCAGAAGTAGTGGGTTGAGTACAGATCTGATGTTAGCTGTGTAATCCTGTGTTAATGGAGACAATTAATTGTCCATGCATTGCCTACCTAACAGGTTTGTCGTAAGGAAAGAGATTTGTGAGCCTTGCACATGAGTTTTTACTTAAATATGATCTGTAATTATAACATTATAGAATGATATTATTATATATTATATTATATTAATTATATTATATTATATATCATAGTTTGTCCTTCTATTACATGTAATGTTGTTATATCACATTATAATAATCAACAAAAATATTAATGTTGCAGCACAGAACCCTATGGAATATAGGAAACCCTTGAAAGGCCTCCGGGCCAATTCCTAATCACAGAAGAGACTTTTCACTCAGAGCTTCCAGAAATACTCCTGCACTATAGACTACTATTATAATCTTGATTCGATCTTTACTGAGTTGACTTGCAACTGTAGCATTAATGCACCAGGAAGAGAGTCCAAAATGGTACCTAAAATTCTAAGAGCAATGTCACTCACTATATGGAATATGGCCACATATTTAATTCTAAGCCCCAGAAATGTTTAAATAAGCAAAGAATGACAGTGTCATATTGTGAAAAGAAGACTGATTTTGTAGTAAAAGGATCTAGGTTTGACTCCCAGTTCCACTACTTACCTAGCATCAAGTGAATCAAGTTCATTTTCTCTCTCTGGGCCTATTTCCTCATCTAAAAACTGTCAGACCAGAAGATCTCCAAAATACCTTTCTGCTCCAAATCTATGATCTTATTCTCTGTCATCAACCAGTTACTCACTATACTCTTTGCAGAAATATTTATTTTGTCCCCATTTGCCTGGCTTTGTTTTTGTAATTTTATAATGATTTTAAAATACTCAATTAGTTGCAACTTTAATCATCTGAATTTCATATTTAATTATGCGTGAACTTATGAGGCCTATAAATGGGGCTCTGTTTTCAAGTAATCAAATAGCATTCATGGGCAAAAAGCAGTAATTGGTATAATAATTCACTACGTGCAGATAAAAGGGATGATCACCAAAATCATTCCCACAGATCTTGAGTGCCAATATGAACTTCTTTAGCATCCATTATCTCCACAACATCTCATGAAATGTCAAAGTGAATACTGGTTCCTTGTTGAATGGTGCATCATTTCAGTCTGATAAATTTCAGGGGACAGAGTCATTAAGTCAGGAGAAAGGTGATGCAATGCCATTTCACCGTCGCTGAAAAGATTTGGGTTATTCTATGATATTACAGATCTGGGATCTGGGATATATTTACCCCCTTGTTTAATGGTAAATGTCTCCCTAACTCATAACTAAACCTCTTAGAACATTAAGTTGTCAGGATTCTTACTCTTTAGAGAACTTTTTCTCCGTAATGAGCTTTCTTGCCTATACTATTTCAGACAATAAATTTGATTTGAGAAGTGCCAAGCAGCTCAGAAATCCAAAGATATCTTTCCCACTGACATCAGCCTCCCTCAGTGACTTGAAATTGTCCCTGTTACCATTCAATAGATTAGGGACAAACAAGCGAGGGTGTTGTCTCCAGAAGGCCAAGGTCACAAGGGTGACCTCGGCTGGGTGACTTTCCCTTACTAGGTCTCAGTTTCCTTAAATGTAAAATGCGGAGGTTGTACTGGATAATGTCAGAGACCCCTTCCAACACCAGCATTCTATGATTCTAGGCCACTGGAAAATGTGCATGATTTAGACAGCCTGTTATCTTCTCTGACCACAGGTTAGCTAATTACCAAATTTCAACCAAGGGAGATCACAAGATCATTGATCTAATGGTGGAAGGGCTCTCGGAGACCATCGAATCTGGCTTCCTCATTTTATAAATAAGGAAACTAACATAACACGCTGAAGAAGGGGTGGGAGAAAGGGTGGCAGAATAGCTCTTCATAGCAGCGGACACCATAACCTCAACGAATAGTGTTAGAGTTAGGGTCAGGAAGGCCCGAGTTCAAATCCTATTTCAGATACTTACTAACTCACCCTGGACAAGTCATATAACCTCTCTCAGCTTGTTTCCTCATATGTAATGTAAAATCGGGATAAGAAAAGCACCTTCCTCCCGGAATTATTGTGAGGATCTAATGAAATAATACCTGTAAATGGCTCTGAAAATCTGAAAGCACTGTATAAATGCTAACTATTATTCTAAGAACACCATCCCTCTCTCCAGCCTGGTTATTCATGTCTGTTCTTACTCTATCTTGTCCATGTCTTACCTAAAATGTGCTTCCTAAACACCGGTATGCCCAGGGCAGAGTAGAGTGGAGCTTCACCTCCCCTCATTGGACACTAGGCCTTCTTTCACATAGCCAGGAATTGCATTAGCACTCTTGTCTGCCATAATTCTTAATTGGCTTCTATTGAGTTTGCCAAGCCCTTGAGGAGTGATGCACACAATTAGCATTTCTTTTGGTTATTTGTTTCTTACCTGAGCATGAAAGGTTTGAGAATGGTGACTCCCAGCAAAAAAAACATAAGGATGGAGAAACCCATCATCGTAAACCCCAGGAGAATAGCTCGGTCTTCTCCTGCACTGGAAGGGAGCTTTTTCTGCACATCTGAGGCAGGCTCACCATCACCACAGTCTTTCTTTTTCCTCCTGTCAGAAGTAGAGAAGGCTGACCTTTGACAAGATTGATTTAAAAAATTATTTTTAAATTATCATCATAAGCGTGTATAAGCATAAAAATTTACCAGCTCCCCAAAAGAAAAAAACAATTCCCATTTGTTTTCATTCCTCAGGTACAACTATAAATGGAAAATAAAGTAAATCCACACTAATTCATACAAATAGGGGGTAGGGTGGGGGAGAAGAATGGTCTAAATTAATGAAAAGTTTTCATCACAGAATTTTTTAATGAAAGCAATTTTGTTCCTTTCAAGGAATAAACTCATCTAATTGTTCAATGTGATGTAGAGAAAGGGGGTTACATATAGTCAAAAGACTCTCATTTGAACCCCAGCTCTTCTACTTATTACCTATGTGACCTTGAACAAGTCACTTAACAATTATGAGCCATGACATGTAAAGTGAAATGGTTTGACTAGATGACCTCTAAGGTTACTTCCACCTCTAAATCTCCATTTCTCAGAATCCCTAGTTTTCTTCAGGAAGCCTTTCATTGCATTCTCAGCTATTAATACATTCCTGTCTCCACCAAACCCACCCATCACTTTATATCTATTTTTATATCTGTTTTGAAAATGCCTCCATATATAAATATCCAGACTAATTTCCCCCAAAAAAATTTTCCTTGTATCTATGCTGTATTTGTTATCTCCAGCACCTAACATTGTACTTGGCATGCAGCAGGCACTTCATAAATACATGTTGATTAATTGATTTTGTACATACTAATATATGTATGTGTATAACCTATTGCCCTCGGACTTGACTGTTGCTTTTGAGGGCAAGAACTACTTTCACTTTTGTCTTTTGTCCTACATCCAGCAGAGCGTCCCACACACAGTTGGTTCTTAATAAATGCTCATTGATTGATCCTAAGACTAAACTTGCAAGTATGGCCTAATAATAATAACAACTTGAATTTATGTAGCACTTTAAGGCTTACAAATCACTTTTACATTCATTATTTCATCTGTATCTTTCAATCACCTTCTGAGGTAGGTGATATTTTTCCCCCATTTTTTCAGATGAGGAAACAGGCTGAGAGAGGTTAGTGACTTGCCCAGGGTCATGCAGCTGGTATCTGAAACCAGATTGTAATGAAGGTCTTTCTGACTCCAAGCCTAATAGTCTGTCCACTATGGCTCACTTCTTAGGCATCCTTAGCTTTTTACGGGAGAAATATCTCTTTTCTGAGTAAATGTACTAGGTAATTGCTGCTGAAATTGATCTACCACAACACAAAGCATAACTTAAAAGAAAAACTAGATTTTATTATGCTTAGGCATAAGTTCAGATCTGAGACAAAAAATAAACCTGAACAAAGATTAGGATTCTAATAAAGGCCTTTTATAGACAAAATTACATCAGAATGACAAAGAAATAATTCTGTTGCAATCTTGTACATTACTCTAGACCATAAAAGTTAAAGGTAAGACAGATTCATAATCCCATGCTTCCTTCCATGTCATAAAATTTGAACAAACTTAGTTAGGTAAAGTCATAATCTCATACATCCCTTAGGGAAACAAACCTAGTTAAAAAGACTCCATTGGCAAACTAAGGTTATAGATTAAACTACTTTTAGAAGATTCACACCCAACTGGCTGATTGAAAGGAAGATCTATATGTCACCAAGACAAACAGGAAAACTGATGTCAGGGAAATCCTTCCTTACACAGTTAGCTAGGGGAGCTAACAACTAAATCACTTTGGGGAGCTCAAAATCCCCATCATTTTTTTATCAAAAGAATGTCAAACAGTCTTCCCCTAACACTATTATTGCAGAAGTCAGATTTTGGCCAGATGAGATTAATATTACAGAAGACAGGCTTTTAGTTAACCAAAAGTTGCAGAAGGAATGGCCCTGAGGCCTACATATTAAAAATTAATAAAAGGAAGTCAAGAATCAAAAATTTCTCATAACAACTACACTGGTCAAATTTTTTTTATCTAATTCCAAATCAGTGCACATAACAAACAAAGGAAATACCTTTCACAAATTCATTTTAAAAAGGACTTTCTTTTCTCAAAATCCGCTAATTCGTTGTTGGTTGAATTATGAACTGATTCAATCATTTTGGTTTTGGGGTTTTTTTGTTTTTTGTTTTTTGGGGGGTTTTTTTGGTTTTAGGCAATTGGGGTTAAGTGACTTGCCCAGAGTCACACAGCTAGTAAGTGTCAAGTGTTTGGTCTGTGTCCGGATTTGAACTCAGGTCCTCCTGACTTCAGGGCCAGCACTCTATCCACTGTGCCACCTAGCTGCCCCCAGATCCAACCATTTTGGAGAGCAATCTGGAATAATGCCAAAGAGTTATTAAACTACCTATACCCTTTGACTCAGCAATACCACTCCTAGGTCTATTTCCAAAAATGATTAGGTGAAAAGGAAAAGAACCTATCTGTTCTAAAATATTTATAGCAGCTCTTTTTGTGGTAGCAAAGAGCTGGAAACTGCAGGGATGTCCATAAATTGGGAAAATAGGTGAACAAGTTGTGGTATGTGATTGTGGTGGAATACTACTGTGCTATAAGAAAGGATTTTAGAAAAACATAGAAAGACTTGAAAGAAATAACAAAGAGCAAAATGTGCAGAACCAAAAGAACATTGTATAAAGTAACAGCAGTATTGTTTTAAGAATGACTTTGAGGGGCAGCTAGGTGGTACAGTAGATAGAGCACCGGTCCTGGAGTCGGGAGGACCTGAGTTCAAATCTGGCCTCAGACATATAACACTCACTAGCTGTGTGACTCTGGGCAAGTCATTTAACTCCAATTGCCTCACCAAAAAAAAAAAAAGAATGACTTTGAATGAATAAGTTATTTTGGCCATTATAAGCACCCAAATTAATTATAAAGCACATATGAAGGAAGATGCTATCTGCATCCAGAGAAAGAACTAATAAATAGAAGTATGTATAGAATAATATGACATACACAGACACCTATTTGTGTCTAATGGTGGCCATCTCTAGGATGGGGGGGGAAGAAAAAAAGAAATTTGCATGATAACTTTGTTTTATGTTTAAAAGGAATAGCAAGTTGTACACAGTAGATTTGCAATTTCATGTGCAATTCTTTTTTATAATACTATGTTATGGAAATGCTTGTTTTATTCCATAAATTAAAAATAAAATAAATTTTAAAAAAAAGAAATCCAGATTTGGGAGGAAATCTAGGGTTTATGAGGTCTATTAGCACATCACAGTGACATTCAAGTGTCAGCAGACAGAGGGAAGTGGGGATGACAAGGTAGTCTTCCCAATGCTTCTGAAGTTCATAGGATTCTAGCTTTAGAGCTGCAAGGTCCAGACCTAAGGGGCCATAGAAGCCAACCCCCTCATTTTAACTAAGGATGAGTGGTCCAAGATCATCCAGGTAGCAAGTGGTAGGATTTGAAGCCAGACCCTTTGACTCAAGTCAATGATCTTCCTACTGTGACATGCTACCTCTGGCATCACAGAATTGCAGTTAAAAAGGACTTCAAAGGCCATCTAGCTCAGCCTTTTCCATTTTATAGATGAAGAACAGAGACATAAAAGTGATTTTACTTGCTTAAGGTCAAGCAGATAGGTCACACAGGAAGCATCAGAAACAGGATTTGAACCCAGATCCTCTCCCTCTCCAGTGCTTACTCATGAGTGCCCTTTCACAACATCACATGCCATGTAAGTATACCCTTCCTATGCTTTAGGGAACCCCTACTCCTGGAACTCAACAGAAAGTCTTAGGATAGAATATTCACAGAGAACAAATTTCAGGTTCCTCCCTAATGTGCCCCACAACAACTTCACTTTCATTTTTTCCTCTAGTATATTCCCTCTAGTATGCTCTCTCTTCTTCCCTTGGCAAAATCTTCTGGCTGTAGAGACTACCTCAGGGAACACAGGCAACCCCACTGAAGCCCCAAGAGTGCACCTAAGAAAGCCCTGATTCACGAGTTGGCAGGATCCATGGCAATCTATTTATCATAGACCAGTGAGCTAGTTTTGAGATCTCAAAGGTCCCATGTTTTCCCTTCCTACTCCCCCCTGGACAGACTGGGCTGAGAGAGTAGAAGAAAACAAAAATCAAAAATGTATACTGTATGAACAGATCTGAGAAGAGAGTAACTGAGAGGAGGCCAGCCTGAAGCCCTGGATTTAAGTCCCAGAGCTGAAGCTGACTTACTACATGACCTTGAGCAAGTCATTAGATCTCAAATGCTGGAACCTTTTGTCAAGACATTACATGCTCATAAGGTGACTTCTGGTACTGTGGACAACTCCAGAATTATGCCAGTGGGTATTCTTAAGGATCCAGGGTGCATTGTGGGAGGAATTATCTCCTAATAAGGTCCTGCTGGGATTCTTGGCATTTTATCATGGTATATACTGGCACTAGCATGACTTAATAACATCAGTTGGGAAGATATTATACCATGTTCCCTTGTCTAAAATGCTCACCTAAAGGCCTTTTGAGGAATGGTCAGATCTCTAGCCCCTCAACCCTTCAGGGAGAGAGTTAATAACATTTGGTGTTTTGTAACCACCTCTCATTAGAGAACTGCAAAGCAAATTTTAAATGCCATAGGGGAGCCCCAGCGAGACCATTACGTAAAAATGAGCACTTGCTCTGGCCGCACTGGAGTGAGATAGAAGAAGAATATTTTTATGTCCTTTTGGCAAATTCCTTCTAGTACCTTCCCAACCACTCTATCTAATTTGTATATACCCATTTATGGACATGTTGTCTGCCCTGGAAAGACTGTAATGCCTAGAGGACAGGAACTATTTTTCTTCCATCTTTCTATCCCCAGTGTCCAGCACATTATAGGTACTTCAGAAATGCTTCTTGGTTGATCAGTTGACAAAACCTTTGAAGAATAGGTTGTCTCCCATCCTCTCCTCTGTTCCCCACCTTTACTTACAGATATGTAACTGGGAATTCTGATGGAAACTAGGGAGACCAACTTATGTCCCCATTGCCACTGAGCTAACCCTAGTTAGGAAAGGCAG